ATAATAGTTTTGGTGCCATGATTTTGTCTCAATTAATAATTGGGTTGGTTTTTGTTCTTATTTGTCCAAAACTAATTCAAATATGAAACTAATTATTTTATGGAAATATATAATTTTTTTAACTTTCTTGTAATTTTTATTATGTTTTATGTTTGAAATAGTAAATTTGATAGAAAATAAATAAGATAATATTAGTTAAAAATGTTTAAGTACTTATTAAAATAAAAATAATTTAGTATTATTTTAATTTATTATTTGAATATAATTAGGTTTATTATTTATCCCAATTAAATAATTGGTTCAAGACTGGTTTTACCTAGAATTGACCCGTTGACAACCCTAAACCAAATTAGGTTCCATTATAGTTATTTATTATTCATAGTAATATAGTTATAATTATTTTAACGAAAAAACAAATTTATTATATTATCTCCAAATGTCTTTTTTCTATTTCACCCCTACGAAGAAGGGGCTTCCCCACTAGTACTCTTTATGAAACTTTTTGTTACACGTTTACGAAAATTTATAACATGTATATAAAAATTCATTAGAAGTTGTAATTGTCTACATCTATTAATTTCTTGAATACAATACCTAATTGTGAATTGATTAAGCTTGTTTCTAAGTTGTTTCATCTTTAGTTTGAGACTTGTGACTAGATAAAAATCTATTTTAATTGATTACCACCTCATTTCCGGTAAATGTAATATTTCTAAAACCCCTCTTAACATGGTCAACCATTACACTTATAAAGGAGTTTTGTTTCCGATTTGTTTAACCAAGTGGTGCCTCAATTATGAGGAAAAAGTTTGCACAACTAGTATTTTTCACCTTTTAATGAATGTCAAAATGAAATACATTATTCAAGATTAGTAACATCAAGTATAATCCATATGAAATTGGATTTGCTAATTCTGCATAAATAAATTACTCAGGTTTAAATAAGAAATAATTATCAATATTTTTACTTTGATAGATTTCAATGAAAAGTATTGAAGACACTAAAAAAATTATATATAAATATCAACATACATGTGGGTATGACTTCCATAACCCATTATTTTTATATTTCTTTCCAAACAATGCTGGTAATCATTAACAATAAACATTCATTAATAATAGCCATTAACAAGAATCGACTAAAGGTAGATATTATAGAAAGCTGTAAGCATCAAACATTAAATATTAACCACTAATAATAGCCATTTAACATGGATAAAGAAACCATTAATAGTAGATATTCACAACAGTAAACAATTAGAAGCATTTGAATGAATCATTAATCATTAATAGTAGATATTTACAAGAGTAAACAATTAAAAGCACTAGACATTAATCATTAATCATTAATAGTGGCCATTAAACATAGGTAAAGAATCCACTAATAATAGACATTCACAAGGGTAAATAAATAGAAGCATTAGAATGAATTATGAGTCATTAATTGTGGCCATTAATAGATGTAAAAAATCCACTAACAATAAACATTCACACTGATAAACATCTAAAAGCATTGAACATTAATCACACATAAAAACTAGCATGGACCTGTGTGATACAGGGGTTTTGTTAACAATTTGTTTGGTTGTTCCAATGTGGGTGAGAAATAGGGAATATTTGGGTTAGATTCCTTTAATCCCGTGTTTATTTGATGGGATGGTGTGAGAAATAATGGTGAAACCTTGTTGAGAAAAGAAAACTTTGTAACTCAGGTGGGAAAAAAAGGTCGTGGCTTTGTGTTCTTCATCTACCATAGTTCAGTGCCACCAATGGTTGGATCTATTACCCATCTTCATGTCATTGCCGAGCAAGGTAAGATTAAATTTGGAAATTACATTCAACAGTGATCTCATTATAGATTATACCCTTTTTCGTTATCCATTAAAAGGTCATGGCTTTGTGTTCTTCATCTACTATAGTTCAGTGCCACTGACGAACGGATCTATGACCCATTTTCATGTCATTACCAACCAAGGTAATAAGATTGAATTTGGATATTACACTCGATAGTGATCTCATTATAGATTATACCATTTTTTGTTCTCCATTTGTTCTTTTTTTTTTGGTGAGAGATTGTTGTCGTGGGTTAGAATCTATGGATTCCAACCATGAGTTTGGGGAAAATGTTCAATTTATGTTGTAGGATATTGTAGATTTGATATTTTCCTTCATTGTCTCGTTTACAAGTGTCCATTAAATCAAATCTATATCACGATAATGTTCTCTTCTTTATTATCACTTGATATTTATTTTTATATTCATTTTTTTTGTTTTTAATTTTCATTCCTCTTCTAGTATGCTGGTTAAATCTTTGTTTATGTATCAATATTATATTGTTTATTTCTATTTCTATGATAATATGTTCGAGCATGCATTTAGGTCTTAGTTTTTAAGTTCAAAGCATTTAAAAGTGTTTTGATTTGCATTTGGGTGTTGGGAGTTGAATTAAAAGAAGGGAAATGATATTGGATCTGATTTCTATTATGGATCTTCAAGTGATATATGTAAAGATTTTCAAAGCATTCCTATGTTAATATTTCGGATCGTACCAATCAAAAACTAGAAAATGAATTTTTCACATATTTGGTATCAACAACCATGATGCAAAATTGAAAAAAAAAAATCCCTTCTCATCTCATTCTTTCTCACCACCTAAATAGACCATAAGCAAAAGTTAAACAATAGAAACACATAAAAGTAGACAATTTTTATATTTTAACTTTTTAAATAATTGATAATTATTTATGTTTTATATACTACTTTTAATATTTTTTATAATACGAAAATAACAATAATTAATTTAAGTTAAATTAATAGTCTAATATCTAATAAATAACAATACTTTAATCTCTAATAATTATTGAAAATTTATAACAAAAATACAATAAATGAGTTAAAAATACAATAATTACAAAAATACAATAAATACTGAAAATATATTAAGTTAATTCATAAAAAGCATTGTCTCTAATAATAGTTTAACCTCTAATAAATATTAATCAATAAATTATAATAAAAATACATAATTACTGAAAATAAATTTATAAAAAAATACAATAAATCCAATAAGTACAATAAATTAAATTTCAAAAGGTTAAATAACAATAATTTAATCTCCAATAATTGTTGAAAATTTATTGTTAAATAACAAAACAAAATAGATATATACATTATTATTGAATAATATATTTATCATAAAAATACAATAAAGGCCAAGTTACAAATGCAAAACAAGAAAAAATCAAGTAAAACTCACTTGATTTGGGTTCGTTCAATCGAGGGTTCCAATTGATTGTCGCTGAACCTCAAGAGAGAAAAGAGAAATGGGAGGGGAGTAGACTTGGCAAAAAGTTGACCCAACCTGCGAACCCGACCCGACCCAACCCGAAAAAACAAGGTTAGGGTCTCATATTTAGTTACCCGAATGTGAAAATGACCCGACCCGCCCCCAAAAGGGGTTGGGTTGGTCATGGGTCAACCTGTTGACCCGATTGTCAAGTCTAATTGGGATTTTTTATGCATTGTTAGAAGTTTCCACTCTTTATTTTTTTCTATTTAGTCTCTACTTTTTATTGTTTACTCTTTAAATTGTTAAATGTTCAAGTTTTTTAAGGTTAATTCTTTTAATTTTGACATTTTTATGTAATTTTTCTTTATTTTTTTTAAATCTCAATTATTTTTTGGAATGACTCAAATTGACCTATGGGTCAACCTTAACCCAAATATTTAGGGCTAGGATTTAGCATTTGACGACCCAACCCGAAATCAACTTGAAGTACCTTGACCCAACCTGAACCCGACCCACTGAACTCAATTGCCAAGTCTAGGGGAGGGGGGGGGATGGAGATAATATGTTATCATCACCTTTCGCGTTTAGCAAAAAAGCACATTTGGCCCATGATTGCTGCATTGTGATTTTTATTGAATAAATGTTTTTACTCTAAAAAGCACATATTACCAAATGCAAAAGCATTTTTTTTTTCTACTTAAGCACAAAAGTACTTTGAAAAATCTTATCCAAACATAACTTTATTCTTCTCTCGTTGGTGCATTTATATCTGTTTATTGCTTCATTGTGCTTTGGGTTTAACGGGTGTAGTGACCATTGTTGATATACTTTAGATGTGGATAATCCTTTTCACTAAACAAAAAAAAAAATTAAGGAATTATAAAATTTTAATGGAATGGGAGGGAGTTCAGGTTGACCTCAACCCAACCTAATCTGGCTCAACTTGCGGCCGAAAATCAATGTTTGGTGAAACACTTAGAGAGCCGAAAACATGAACCCAAAAAATCGACTTTCTTATAAAGCTATTTTTAGTAATTTCTCTAAAGTGATTCAGTCAATTCCAAACGAGCCCTAAGAAGTGAACCCTTCCAAGACGGAGCTGCGGGCAGCAGGCTGAAGTAAACTCTCTCTAGCGACGTGTCGTGGAATGCATTGAATCGTGGGTCCCAAGATGGTCCCACAATATGGTTTATAATCGACGGTTATTACGTGGGTGGGCTGGGCCCCACATGACATATCGATAGTTAATCACCACCAACTTCGTGGGTCCCGCAGTCTACTTCTTTTCGTCTTCCCCGGGCAACGACTTTGAGAGTCAACAACGATACTCATTCCAACTTCCGTATAGACCAGGACCCAAGTCGTTCAACTTGATCACAATACCCTTTGTCTTTGATAAATTTACACAAATATCCCCATTCTTCAAATTCTAAGCGAGCATCCGGGTTTGGATTTGGTTCATTCCATTTTGACTATTTAAATTTAAATATAAATAAAAGTATAAAAATAAAAGAAATACATAAATTTATATAGATTATCTTTTAAAGCTATTTTACATAACAATTTGTGGTTCAATTGATACTGATTCGGTTGGCCCGGTTGCTAAGTAGAAAGGTACCGTCCGACCCGGTCCATTGTAGTATTACTGTAAATAAATTTATAATGGTGGCTTTTAGTTACTTTATTTTTTTATAAAAGACGAGTTGCTTGCAGCGGCCATTTTTATCAGGCTGCCGGAAATGGCGGAGCCGGAGCATGCCCTAGTTATGAAGCTTCTGCTTCTACTTCTCACACTCCATTCTTCCCTTTTCGTCGATTTTGTAGTTTCAGAGATCATTTTTGAGGAGCGATTCGATGGTACTCCCGAACTTCCTCCCTATCATCGTTCTTCGTACAAAGTATTCTGTGTTTGAATTCAATTTCTAGCTAAAGCCTATTTATGAAAGCTAATCATTTACACTGTCTTTTTCCCAACTCTCTCTTGTTCTTGAATTTAGCTACTTTTTGTATTATAGCATTCCTTTTTCTTTATTAGTTTGATTTTTTATCTATAATTAGTAATCAGTTGCACTTGAATGAGATTTTCTTCTTGGCTGTTCCGGTAGACTGTTGGTGGGTGTTGTTCTGTCTCCTTTTTCTTTTCTTCTTCATTTTTTCCCTTTTCGGATCGTTGTGCATTCTGGGTGTAGCTGATTTTACTTATTTCTTATGGTGCAAAGACGGTTGGACTAGTCGTTGGGTTAAGTCAGACTGGAAAAGGAGCGAAGGAAAAGCTGGTTCATTTAAGCACACAGCAGGGAAATGGTCTGGTGATCCAGATGATAGAGGTGTGCTTGCTCTCATTACCTTAAAACTCTGCATTTTCTGTTCTGTATGGGAGAGTAGTTAGTTAGTTCACATTGCCTTCAATCCAAGGCTGTTCAATTAATGGGTCACCTCTCGGATGGGACCATTACCCTAAAGCCCCTATCAATTTGATGATTCTACTTATCAGATGAGCGAAATTTCATTCCAAGAATTGAGTATAACGGGTTTGATCTTCCAATTTTTGGACTGAACCCAGAATTCGTTTATCAGTTACAGATATAGCAGTTGGTAAATCGTTGTTTAGAATTGTTCGTTGTTGTCAATGCATGTTCTTTCGACTCTGGGCATCCAAGGTCACAATACTTACAAGGTGTTTTACCGGGCAATGAAATCTTGCAGGTATTCAGACGGCAACTGATGCCAAACATTTTGCCATTTCAGCAAAGATACCAGAGTTCAGCAACAAGAACAGAACTCTGGTTGTCCAGTATTCCATAAAGTTTGAGCAGGACATTGAATGTGGTGGTGGTTACATTAAGCTTCTTTCTGGTTATGTCAATCAGAAGAAATTTGGTGGTGATACTCCTTACAGGTCAGATTCTCCCTCCTAAATGTTCCCCCTATTCCATACCAAATGTAATCTTTAAGCTCAACACCTTGGGTTCTGTTTGTTGAATCCATATGTTTGACGTACAGTTATTGTTGCAAAAATCTTATTTTGTCTTTTTTCTTCTTATTTCTTCTTCAGTCCGTGTCATATGATTGTTTAATACATTTGTGCCAAACTCTTTCATGTTTCCCTTTTCCAGTGGATGAAACATATACCTAATGGCATCTGAAAATTGGTTAAATATGCTCAATCGTACTAATATATTTTCCTCTAATTCATTGTGATACTTATTGCATGGTCATTGATACGTTTTCCTGCTTTACTTGTAAATTATATCTGACAGAGTGACCCTTCTCACTTGCAATTTTGCAGTTTGATGTTTGGGCCGGATATATGTGGGTCGGACACAAAGAAACTCCATCTTATACTTTCTTACCAGGGGCAAACCTATCCTGTCAAGAAGGATCTCCAGTGTGAAACTGACAAATTAACTCATTTTTATACATTTATTCTTAGACCTGATGCAACTTATAGCATCTTGGTTGACAATCGAGAAAGAGAATCTGGAAGCATGTATACAGATTGGGATATTCTTCCTCCTCGGAAAATTAAAGATGTCAAGGCTAAGAAGGTTACGTCACTCATGAACCAATACATTTTATTGCATTTCTAAATTCTGGGATTAGCCTTTGTTAAAGAAGCCATGCTGAGCCATGATAGGATAGGTATCCAACATATCAATTTTCTATGTTCTAACTTGTCTTTTAATATATTTACTTGTTTTGTGAACAGCCAGCAGATTGGGATGATAGAGAGTACATTGATGATCCTAATGATGTTAAACCAGAGGTACCTTAAAACCTATTTAATGCAACTGTTTACTAGTACCCAAAAATATCATGATTGAATTGCAGATCCTTACAAATTTGTTTTGAAACTGCAGGGATATGACTCAGTTCCAGCTGAAATCCCTGATCCAAAGGCTAAAGAAGTATGGTCTTTGCTTTATGATGTTAGATTTCAAAGAAAAGTGATTAATCTTTGGATTCTAATTAGTAAATAATCGACTAGTCATTTTTAATTCTAAAAAACTCTCCTAGAAGCTTAGTAAATATCACTTCGCCCCCACTTAAAGCACAACCTTATTGTGTCAATAGTTTAATTATTGTAGCTTTCTTTACTTATCTCTTATTTTCTTCTCTTGAATTATTAAACCTTCTCTTGGGTTCCTTTTATGGAGATATTACAAGATTTTCTTCTAATATGCCATGAGTTTTACTGGTTCTTTTGATCAGCCTGATAACTGGGATGAAGAAGAGGATGGTATATGGAAACCACCAAAAATACCAAATCCTGCATACAAAGGACCATGGAAGCGCAAGGTGTGCTAGTGGGAAAAAAAAACTGTTAACTTGAACTTATTATTTCTTTGCTTTCAGTTCTCAATAGTCTGATGATTTGATAACCACCTCACAGAAAATCAAGAACCCTAACTATAAAGGAAAGTGGAAGATTCCATGGATTGATAACCCAGGTATGCTTTTGTTGCTGTTCAGGTTTTAAACAGTGAATTATAAGTTGATAACAAAATATAAATATCTTTGGTCTATTGGTCAGAAAAAAATCCTATGGGCTTTTCAATTTCTATGCAGAGTTTGAAGATGACCCTGACCTCTATGTGATGAAGCCAATCAAATATGTGGGCATTGAAGTTTGGCAGGTAAGACACATAAATCTCATTAATTGTTATTTATCAAGAAAATCAAAATAAAACCAATTTTTCAATACCACGATTATAGAATTAAGACATACTGAAGTTCACCTTGCAATCTACAAGGAAACCAGTTTTCAATTCTTTTTTGAGCTTGGCGTTAATGAATACTTTCAGGTTCTATGAAATATTTACCAACTTGTTCATCTCTTTATAAAATGAGTGTCTTGATGTTAGATTCTGGTCCAATTAACTGAGATCAATTTCATTCCAGTTGATCTGTTTGTTCCTGAGCGTTGAGAAATATTTTTCTTATTACGATGAATGTTGTTTGTTTTTTCATGGGTACAGGTAAAGGCTGGTTCAGTTTTTGACAACATTTTGATCTGTGATGACCCTGAGTATGCCAAACAAGTTGTGCAGGATATATGGGAAAGGAATCGGGAGGTAATATCTTTTCCTTCAGTCTCTACTGCTAAATGTTACATCAATGTCAGTGCATAAATTACATTTTTCTGTTATTTTTTGAAACTACAGGCTGAAAAAGAGGCCTTTGAGGAAGCAGAGAAAGTAAGGCAGGCCCAAGAAGAAGAGGTAAGTGATAGCTATTAGTATAACCATCCATATGTTCTCTTATATCAGCTTCTATCTCAACTAGCCCTTACTCCATTTGTTAAGTGCAATCTTAGGAACTGAGCATTCAATCTAAAACCACCAGCTTAATGTGATAATTTAGCTCAGGTGCTCAACTCAAATCAAATTACATAACTCTGGTTCAAGTTATAGCCTCGGTAGGCTTTTATTGCAATAAGATTGTTAAGTCAAAAATAAATGGCATTGGCAATACAATTATTGAACCCACTCTTCTCACACTTGAATCAAAGTTCAAACAGCCAAATGACTTTTGTTGTTTACAATTTTACATATAATTGAGCTTGTTCATATCTAAAAAAATGCCATTACCCACACTTCTCACACTTGAGTCAAAGTTCAAACGGCCAAACGACTTTTGTTGTTTACAATTTTACATATATCATTGAGCTTTGGGAGGGTTGGAGCGGATAGAAACAGAGAAACCTAATCTTTGGTATTTTCTTTTTAATATTTTGCACAAAGTGGATGGTTTCAAACTTGAACCCACATTATGCTTGTCAGCCCAAGATTTTTACCATTGAACTAAGTAATGTCCACTGAGCTTGTTCATGTTTGAATGCCAAAAATCAAGATTGTATTTTCTAGTCAAATCCATCCTCTTTCAGAACTGGCCCAATTCAACCTGAAGGTTAGGTCAGTAGGTTTTGACACATTCAAGTTGCACTGTACATAGGAATGAGAGTGGGTCAGGTTAGGTGGTAAACCCAAACTGACCCAACCCTATCAGGTTATGGTTAGGTAAGCCTCAAATGGGTTGAGGCGAGCCCTGGGCTAAAGCTGTCTCATTGCTGTTTCAGCATTCAAATATTTGTATATATAAGTTGGTTGAGTATAGGTCTACCATATATGGGATGGGTCAGGTTGGCGCAGTTTGGAGTTGCTTTGGGTCAGGCTTGAGTTGACTCAAACTCGAACTGTTGACATTCCTAACTGTAGAGGTCAAATTTTGATTTAAATTGGTGGTACTGAAAATGACTTGAATGCCTATGTGTACAGGAAGCTCGACGAGCAAGAGAGGATGGTGAACGAAGGAGAAGAGGAAGAAGCCGTGATCGACGAAACCAAGAAAGGGACCGCTATAGGGAGAAATATAGAAGGGTATGACACCTATAATTGTGCATTTACATTTCCTTCAAAATTAGTGTTCTTAAATATTAGATTATTTTTTTCTTATTGTACATACATATTCATCTTAGTTGAAATACACTTGCAATGACTCTCATTGGCCCTGCTTTTGATCTGTTGTAATAACATTTTTGGTAGTTCTTTCAGAATTCATGTAGATATTGGATTAAAAAATGCTTTATGTCCATGTTAAGAGAAAGAAACTTCTAGAGAGAAACTTGCCATTGTCTTGATTGATCAATGTCAAATCAGGCAATTAACAGCTGGTGTCTTGGTTTATCTATAGATATGATAATCAAGCTCGCTTTTCAATTTTGGCATTTTTTTTTGTTGAACATTCATTTTTGGGGTTTGATTGCAGTAGTTTTACACACTCACCAAATCAGCGTACTCTTGATTTGGGATCAAATTCTAGAGGTTTGATATGCTTTTATAAACACAGAAGACAAGGAAAAAGTTTTTTTATTTGCTGAAGACACAACCAGACATCATTAATGAAACTAGGTTTTTCCTATCAGTCAACTTCAGAATAAATATAGAGCTTGGGGTGGCTTTTCAGCCTCCACCTGTATGTTTACAAGTAAATGATGTGAGATGCATGGAAGGAAGACATTATGTCAATGCATTATTAACTATTGTCTCATGAGAGCCTTCAGATAAATTAGAAAAAAAAAAGAATAAAAGAAAGGGAGAATGACGGTTCAGCCCAGGGTCAGAATTTTTAGGCCCAAAGTACAGTTGGGGTGGGTGCCAGCTTGGAATTGATGCCAATTCACGGGCGGGCATTGGTGTGTAGAGTGGGGGTTTTTGACATTTTGAATGTTTATAGCTCTGCAGTGGAAATCAGTAATCTGCATTGGGCCTGTCTGTACTTCTCCGTAAAAGAAACAAGGAATAGAAGAGGGGCATGTTGCTGGTATATTATCAGGATGCAGTAACGCCCATCTGTCCTATGACATTAACAGTAGGAATATCCCCATTGTTACTCAAAACCACCATTTGACTGAATCTTTTTGATGTCACTCCTAACTGATTGCTTGTGTCATTTGATGATGTCTTTTCTGTAATATCCAACTTCGAGTACAGTTTGGGCAGATCTATTTGTCTGCTTGTTTCCACGTGCACTTCAGTTTACTGAATTAATGTGCAATTCAGTAAAAGATTCCGATTTAGGGTGCATATTCTGACTCTGAAAACTTGTTCTGCAGCGTGACTACCACGATTATTTGGATGATTATCATGTAAGTATTCAAAACTTTGATTACCTATATTTTCCTTTTGTAGCAATTCTGCACATGTTATACTAAGCCAGAGAGCATTGCTTTTCTGCTGGATCTCCATTACAATCTTTGGAAAGTGTTCCTACACTTCTACTTGTTTGTGTTTTAGTAGACCATAAAAGGGAAATATAAGTGGAGCATCATGGTGAAGTGTCCCCATTCCCCCCAAATATGAAATGCTAGCAGCAGGCAGCTCAGCAGCATGGGCTACCCTGCTTCAGAGACCAGGGGGACCCATGAAAAGTTTTTTTTTTTTTTTTTTTACTATGCCTGATTATGGGTCCCAAGGTGAAATACAACAGCATTTACCAAGCACAGAAGCTATAAGGCAACAAATTGATACATTTTATGCTGAAAGTTATCTTTCTCACTATTGCAGGATGAACTCTGAGGGCATCACCAGCTATTTACCTTTATATTCTACATCATATCGCAAAGAATGTGGGTTAGCACCTATTCTTGGTCAGGGTTGGTTCCCCTTGGGGAAGTGTTTTGACTCTGTAACTCCTTTTTTCTGTACAATGTCTTCTTCTCTCATTACAATAAACAATATGTTGTACGGCTGTATTTGCAATAGTGTAATACCAATATATCAGTTCCAATACCTCTTGCACAATGGCACATGAGCCCATGTCCCTTAAACCTCCAAGATGTAGTTTGAGGGGGCAGCCTAAAATTCATTGCTTTTAGATGTCCTACTGATGTGATAAAACACCAATACATTTCTGTAAAGGTATAGTAATACCAGATTATATTGGCCGACAATCTGTAGCCAGATAAGTAAAAATGTCGAATGTCTAGGCCTTCTGGACTGGAATAGCATTATCCTTAAAGGTCAGATTTCGCTACTTTGGTACACTCCAGTTATTGGCAATTTGACTCTAGGATTCAATGGTGGAAGCCAGTCCTAAACAGCACCCGCAATAGGACAAGGATGACCTTAGACTCGTCACCAATAGCAGCAAATCAAAGGAACAATAATAGAGAAAGGGTTATTTACTAAAAAACACCCCCTAGTGATTCATAAAATAAAACATGACTTAAGGAATCATGGGCCAGGCCGGGCCAAACCTTGGGCGCATGACATCTAAAGACAAAAATTTAATTATTTAGAAAATTTTAAATCAAATACAAATAATATATAATACATGAAAAAATATTGCACAAACCCAAGCTAGGTTGGACTTCACTAGGCTTTGGGCCTATGGCACAAAAAACAAGACATGGACCTCATTTAGGCTATGTTTGGTTTGTAAATGTTTCCTTTCCTTTCCCTTCCTTTCCCTACCTTTTCCTTTAAACCAAACATAGCCTTAATTCCTAGACTTGCTTTGGCTTGGCTGACCTATCTTTCCTTTTATAGATGAAAGGCAATGACTTCATTCCCATTTTTGGATTTTGTGGGACTTTGAATAGCTCTCAATAGTGAATGTAAAATAATATAATTGCATATATATAATATAATATATATATATATAATTTATTATATAAAACAAAAATATAATATATCATTGGAAAAATCTATAATGCTAGAAAGATGTGATAATGGAAAGGTTTTGACCAATCAAACCTTGTGAGTTTTGATGAAAACCAACTTGATTGGCTACCACTTTTATGATGGATTTTTTTTTTTTTGGTATTTGATGATACACACCACAGTAATAACTCCCCTCCCCAAAGTTGATGGTTTTGGGAATCGAATCCGTGTTTATGTTGGAGACAACCAACTAACATTTCAACTGAGCCATCCCTCAGTTGGCTTTTATGATGTTAGTTGATGGGTTATAAGTTTTTCTATTATAATGTCTTTATGGCATCATTATTCAAACCCTATATCATAATGTAAAAATATTGTGTATATTATATATTTATGTTCAACTAATAATTAAGCATTGTAGTAAACTTAAATGCTTGTAGTAAATGTGCATGTGCATTGCACGTGAAAATTTTCAATTACAATTACAATAACAATTATTATTATTATTATTAAATTTTGTATTCCATTTCTATCATAAATAAAAATAATTTTTTATTTTTATTTAATATGATGAATATATAACATTGGAAATGTTCCCAAATGTTTTTGACAAAATTCTATACTTTTTCATTTTTTGTGTTCTTTCTTTTTAAATATTTATTATTCGATTATGGCATCATGAGTTTCTTTGAAAAGTTGGACCATTGATCCACCATGTAGATAAGAAAATAACTTTGCTTTTGGACCAATTTTAATTTATATATTTGATGTACATTATATAAATAATTTTTACTTATCACACTTTTTATATATTCTTTTGATTACTTGTACTTTTTCTATTTTTTAAAGATTTATTATTTAATTATCATATCATTGATTAATCTATTTAACCCAAACCACTAACCCACCACCCAAAAAGAAAAATAGTTTGATTTCTAGGTTGACATTAAATTTTGTATTACATTTCCATCATTGATAAAATTATTTCTTATGTATAATGCATATCTTTGTTCAATGTAATGAATGTATAATATTAGAGATGTATCCAATATTTTATTTTTTTATAAATATATAACCTTAGACATGTGTCTAAAATTTTCTCTATTTTTTATTTTTGTGATTCTTTGTATTTTCTATTTTGAAAAATTTTATTATTTGATTATGCCATCATTTCATTTCTATGTTAATTTTAAATTTGGCATTCCATTTTTATCATTAATAAAAATACTTCTTACATTTCATACTTATTTTTGTTTAATATAATGATCAATATACAATATTAGATATATGTCAAATTCTTTTATTTTGTATTATATATTTTATTTATTTTAATTTTTTATTATTTAATAATGACATTATTTATTAACCCATTTTACCCCAAATGGTTGAATTGCTTACCATCACCGGGAGGGAAGAAAATGGTTTTGTTTTCAAATTCCTTTTCAAAATATTTATTTTATTATTATTAAAATTAATATTATGGACTTAATTAGTAGAATTCAATGTATGAGAAAAATATATTTTAAATATAGGATTTAATGAGAGAATATACCTTAGGTATGAAATTTAATGAGGGAGAATAGGAAAATAGTTTTATTTCCAATTTGTTTAAATTTTTACATTCTATTTCCATCATTAATAAAAAATTTCTTATTTATCATACTTATCATTGTTTAGACAGAAGAATATATGATGTTAAAAATGTTCCCTGTTATTTTTTTAATTTCTATATTTTTGTATTTTATTTATTTTTGAATTTTATTATTTAATTGTGACAATATGGATTAACCCATTTGACCCAAAATGGTTTAATTTCTTACAACCACCTAGATGAAAATACTATTTTTTCCAGATATATTTTAAAAGTATAAGTTTTTATGTTATTTGAATTATTACTTTATTGGATTTAATTAATAAAATTCAATGATGAGAAGAAACACAAATGCCCCTTAAATATATGATTGAATGAAGGTGAATGCAAGTTAATAACTTAAATGTTGGATTTAATGAGAGGGAATGAAATGCATTGAATATCTTAAAATTACCTATTTTCAACTCATTTAATATCGATAGCCAATTACCTATTTGCCCTCATTTTTGTCAATAAATTTAAATATGGAGGGATAAATTTTGTCATCAGAAAATAGAAAAATATTCTTGAGGCTATTCGTGCTTTTTAAAGTAGTATAGATAATGTATATTATATTATATTCTGAATTGGGGCCAGGCCCCCTAAATAGGAGACAAAGAAGAGAAATATTTGGACATGTCATGTATCCTTCCTTCTTTAGACTTTAGAGGGGGTAATCTATGAGAACATGGCCCCATTGAGACTTAAGAGGGCTCAATCCAAAAGGGCATGACCACACTATTTTTTTTTTTTTTTTTGTGCTAGGAATTTGTGGAAGAACGATTAAAGATCTAATTAATAAATCATTAAACCAAATTAATTTTGAAAAGATAATCGCATTTTTTATTAAAACCCTAGCTGTCCCTAACTTGTGATGAAATCTTCACTTTACGAAAGAAGGTAGTTTGATTAGAAGAGAGAAAAACTAGAGAGCTAATTATAGATTGTTAGATCCTAAGGAACTGGTCTTATAAATGTTGGAAATTGACGGGTGCAATTCCAACATTTTGGGTATACAATTAGCAATCTCCGATTGATCACAACTGCAAAAAGAGTCCTATTTTGATAATTTTTTTTTTTTTGAGAAAGCCTGAAGGCAATTTCACTCAACTAGATCTGATACAAAATATTTCTCAAAAAAGAAAAAAAAAAAACAGGGACAGATGACGAAGTGTAATGTCTACTCATAACCCTTTATGTGCCACGGCAACGGCACAGGAGATTAATAATCATACGAGCATTACCTTCAAAATATAACATTGAGAACCAATTGAGATACTTCCAAACAAAAGAAAGCCAAAGCTTAGCATGTAGTCAATATACACATGCCATTTCAAAATGACAGCTGAAGGGTTGAATGGTTCTTCACATAACTGACCATTCTTTGTCATCCAAATTTGTGTCATTAACATCAATGTTTTAAAAACTGACCTGGCCACCGGTTTTCAGGTTAATAGTTCGACCGTCTGATTCAAATAGATGGCATGTTTTGACAAAAAAAATAATTAAAATAAAAAAATGGTCAAAAACTATTGAACGGGTCAACGATTTGACCACTTGGGTCAATAGGTCATTGATCAATTCAATGGTTTTTGGCCGGAGACCAAGTTTGGACTAAAACGGAACTGGTTGCCTGAACGGTTTTCGGTCTGAATAGTCCAACTGTCCAGGTCAATGGAAGTTCGAAAACATTGATTAGCACTGTTCCTATCAAAGAACCTTGCTCAATTGAATTACAAAGCTTATCCTGAAACCATCATAAGTAAATAAGATCCCTAGCATATAGAGCAGTACAAAAGTAAGTGCAAGAGTGTTTCATTAGCAGATTTACAAGGAGAACAAAGGGCTTTATGTCTCATGTTATGTTTCCGCAAAAGGTCAATTGTAGTGAGAATGTGAGAATGTTATTAGAGCATCACCACAAGAACAACTTCAAAGAAGGATTTAGATTCTTAATGCCCCACAAATGCTCCCATTGCAACTCACCTAGAATGGAAGTCAAACCTAAGGAGGTCGGTAAGACCGCGGTAATCACCTTTAAAGCAGAAGAATGAGGTGTAATATTTGATTAAGCCTTTTTAGGAAGATCTTCTGATAAACTTGATAGCCAAAAGATGTTGAGCTTTTGGGGTTGTCTTTAAAGATCTAGACCGTTTGGTAAGATGTCCTAGTCTACTATGATATAGAGAGCTGTTAAATGAAAGATTTTAGGTGTAGGAAGATAGGAAATTTTGTTTGAAGCTTCCAGATTTTCGGCCATTTTGGGCTTTCATGAGCTTTTTAGGGCATATATGTTCCTCGTTTCTTGTCTTTCATTGCCAAACAAAGAAAGACCAAATTTTGGTCTTCCAAGCTTTGAAAAGCTCAAAAGGCCACCTGAAAATTGTCAAATGTTTCCTAAGTAAAATTCCCATATGGGGTCTTGCACCAAACTAGGGTGTCATTAATAACACTTTCAAGTAGGGGTGCCAACAGTATTCAAAAATCTGATTTTGAA